TAACACACTGAAACAGAGTAAGAATGAAAGACAGTTCAGTTAGCTGTGTTTGAAATTAATACACCAGCTGAAAGAGACTTGCTTCTCAGGTGGAAAATCTGTCCCTTCAGGTGGAAAATCAGCCTTTAAGAGAGCGAGAGTTGTAGGTTTGTGTTTGGGGGTGAGCCTGAGAAAGGGGGGGCTTGGGCCGGGCTACTCCCGCCCTCGGAAACAAAGCACTTTGTTAAGAGAAGTTTGCATGGCAGCCGTGAAAGCTGAGGGGAAACATAGAAAGACCTGCCTGAGCCAATGCAGAGCAAAGTAAGAGGCCAGGAGTATGAGACAGAAGCTGACCACAAGAACAGCAATGAAAACGAGGAGAAGGGCAAAGCCCAGTATGGAAGCCAGAGGTCAGAGGGCAGTGGGAGCCAGAGGGGGCTGGATTGTTTTTCCTTATTAGCGGGGAGGATTCTGGGAGCAGATTGCAAAGGACTGAAATGCAAAAAGTGGAAAACCATTGATTTTAAAATGTTAAAAAAAAAAGCTTTCAAGCAAAGAAAAAAGAGAAAAACTTAGGGGTTTTTTTTAAAAGTAAATAATTTTAGAGCTTAGTAACTTGGGAACAAAAAGCATAATGACTTACTCATCTAGAGAGGAAAGTGACAGGAGAGACAGGGTAGCAACCCTTAAGTGTGAGTCATAGCTAAGAGCCAAATCTCCAAACCGTGACCGAGATTACACACATTTCAAAGTCTCCATCAGGAAAATCCAGTCACATGGATTCTTTCTTTCTTTGAACTAATTTATCTTTAATTTACTCCCATCTTTCCCCGATGCCAAATATCCAGGGTTTCGTTTTGACAAGCCTGCTCCCTACCTCATGTTAGACAACTCCCTTGTACCCTGCTCCTCTTCTCCTGACTTTGTTTACAGCATAGAATTTGGTATTAACGTCTCAGCAATTAGAGACATTTTGGAAGACAAAAGCAAAGTGCAGTGAGTCACAGAAGGATTGTACCCTCCTAATTTCACCGAGCTATTCCCCGGCTAGGACTTTGTTCCAAAGAAACCATAAAAGGGAGGAGGAAAGCCCATCAGTACGAAAATATTCTGTTACTCTCTTTGTGATGGCAAGAATAAGAAATGACCAATATCCACAATACTGGAGAATGCTTGGATACATAGCAGTTTGTTAATGAAATGAAATGAGGCAGGTGGTGGTGGCGGCTAGCAGGCTGATCTTGGAGTCAGAAAGCCCTGGATTCCAGCTCTGTCTTTAATGTACACTGAATGGGTCTCTAAGAAAGATGCAATGACCCTGTGCCCCTGGCAATTCCCTAAGACTCTTAGTGATGTTTGGAGAGGACGTTCCTCACCGGGAGCTCCCTGCTGTAATGGAATTACAGAGCCAGTTAAAAAAAATAAAATAAAATAACAGAATATTATTGAACTGAACAAATGATAAATGTGAAATAGACAAGGAAATATGGAAAAACCTCTGCAGAGCAAGAGAAAGTGATGGCGGCAGAACAAAAACCATATCCATACTGACTAGAGGAAGGAAGAAAGAGAGGAAGGGAAAGAAAAAAGGAAGGAAATGGAAGGAGGAGAGGAAGAGGAAGGAGGGAGAAAAGAAGGAAAGAAAGAAGGAAGATAGGGAAGAAGGAAAAGAAAAAAGGATGGAAGGAAGGAAGAGAAAAAAAGGAAAGAAGGGAAGAAGAAAGAGAAAAGGAAGAAAGAAAAGAAGAGCAAAGCCAAAAGTAGAACTTTAGACAGTCCTGGTTGGTGATGAAGAAAATAAAGCATTTTTTTCCTCACATAGTACTTCACTACTTATTAATTCATTTGCATCTACCTTGTTAACAGTAAAGGTTTTCTATCAGTTCTTGTCTCTTATTCTGGACATTGATGGCTATTAAGTTAATAATTTAAAATTAAATATATTCTCAGCTATATGATTATGCTTCATTATTAAGAGATGAAGAACACTAGAGCTACTCTTACATCAGTAGGAAAGACATAATCACACTTTATTTGACGAAAGGTGAGTTAATTAAGGACCGGGGTTAATTGGATCATTCCCCTGAGTGACACTTCCCTCCTCTGCTCCCACCCCCGACAAGCCCTGAAAATTGCTGGAATTTTACTTTTCTTCTAATTGAGCAACTTAGCTGGACTCTGACAGCCTAGAAGAGGCCATCTAATCATGATTTCCTGGAAAATCTTCTCATTCAGGCCTATATGGAGATGGCCATTTTATTTGGTCTTTGTGAAGTTCAGGATTTTTAAAAAAGGAAATGAGAAATTATTTTTAAAAATCTCAATTCAGGACATAAATTAATAATAATAATAATAATAATAATAATAATAATAATAATAATAATAAGTCCATACAAGATTACTTCCTCCTAAAGATACATCTGGGGAGGGGGGGGAAGGGGAACTTTGTCCTTGGATGCAGTTTAGAAAAAGCTGCTTTTTTATTCCTTCAGCAGGTAAGAGCTTTGTCCTGGGTAGGAATCATCAGTAGCAGTTATTAAGAATAATTGGTTAAAATAGGAAGGGACACTTGCAACGTCCTGAAAGTTCACCCTGGGCAAGGTCTTGTGTGGAAAGGTTGGAGGTCTCTCCTGGGCTCTCTCCCTACTCACCCACTCAACCGCGTTTGCCGGGCTTGTCAGAATTGCTGGTCATGTCTCTGGTTTCTCCTTCTAAACAATACTCCCTATGGTCCTTAGTTCGGCATAGCAGATGAAGCTGAACGTCCAGTTTTGCCTCCAAAGCATTCAATTGAACAAGCTGTCCCGGGGCCGAGCTAGGGGCTGAGGACAAAGGGACAAAGCTCCCCAAAAGCTTGCATTCGTAGGGGGAGGGGGTGGTATTCAAAGCAACTAACTTCCTGCTTATTGTTACCAAAGGCTGGGTCTCTGCACCTGCTGCCTGTGTGAACTCTCAGCCGGCTGCTGCCTCCCCCCACAATTCTCGCTCTGGGCTCCTAGTTACTGGGCTAGAAACCGCTAATAGGAGGCCAGGGTGAGCTTTGGGAGGACACTTGGGGTCCACATCCCGCTTCTGGTCCTGTTTATAGCTACTGTCAATGAGGAACCGTGTTCACCAAATACAGTGAGAAAGCCCCCACCTCACCCCAGTCCTAGCCCAGTGGAGAAGAGCCTAGAACTCTTCGAGGCCTCGGGAGCTGACAAAGTTGCCAAATTTATTCCGAGGTTTCTCAAGAGGCCACCCTCTCATCCTGGCTTTTCTGCCAATTTCAAAAGATCCCAGATCTAGAGGTAGTTCTGGGACCTCAGGAGCCATGGGAGCTGAAGTGACTCGCCCAAAGTCATCTAGGTCCTAAGTGTGTCCAGAGTAGGCTTTGATCTGATACTCTTTCCACTCTTGCTCCTTTCCTTAAAAGCTTCCACCTTTTTGGCAATGTGATTTTATGTAAGCGCAGTTCTCACCTATCACTTAGAGACCACTCTACAGGGAATCACTTGATATAGTGAACCTGGGCTTATTTAGGGCCCAAGTATGCAGGTGGTAGAACCTTAGGATCCCATCGGTGGATGGCTTAAGTTCATCCATGTGGGATGACAGCAAGCAACAAGCATTCATTAAGTGCTTACTGCATACCAAGTCCTGGGTATGAAAGGCAAAGAAAGGCAAAAACATGGTCCTGCCCCCAAAGAGCTTGTGGATTAATAGGAGATGCAATGTGTAAATAGTGAGCTCTGAATAGATTAGACGGAAGTAGGTCTTCCCAAGAGGGAGCGGCTTTCAGCCGCTGGGAATGCAGGGAAGAGCCTCTGGGAGAAGATTTCTGAGCGGAGTCTTAAAGGATGCCAGAGACACTAAGGAAGGAAAGAGGAAGGACGTTCCAGACACGGGGTATAGTCAGTGCAAAGATATGGAGGGGGATTCTTTTTCAGGTCTAGATTGAGTTGGATGGCCGCTGAGGTCCCTACTAACTCTAGAAAACTCCATGACTCTGGAGTTCTATGATTTCAAGGAGATGTTCCATAATTATGCCACAGTATCATCAGCTCTGCCTCTGACTATTTTTTTTAAGGCGATTGGGGTTAAGTGACTTGCCCAGGGTCACACAGCTAGTAAGTGTCAAGTGTTTGGTCTGAGGACGGGTTTGAACTCAGGTCCTCCTGACTTCAGGGCCAGTGCTCTATCCACTGCGTCACCTAGCTGCCCCTCTGCCTCTGATTTAGAGATGGGACTGTGAACCAGGAATCTGTGATACATACTATTGTCTGCTGTTCAGTCATGTCTGACTCTTTGTGACTCCATTTGGGGTTTTCTTAACAAAGATACTGGAGTGCTTCGCCATTTCCTTCTCCAGCTCATTTTACAGATGAGGAAACTGAGGCAAACAGGGTTCAGTGACTTGCCCAGGGTCAGACAGTTAGTAAGTGCTTGAGGCCAGATTTGAACTCAGGAAGATGAGCCTCCCTGACTCCAGGCCCCGTGCTCTATCCACTGTGCCACCTCACTTCCCTGACAAATTCACTGGGTAGAAAACATTTTAAAATAAACAAATAAACAAAAAGCCCTCCTCTGTGAAAACTTGTCTCTTTAAAATGCATGGCGGAATCATACAATAGACAAAGATTCAGAGCTAGAAGGAACCTGAGAGGCCATTTGGAATAACCCTTTCATTTTACAGATGAGGAAACTGAGACCCAGAAAAGCTGGGCAACTCACCCAAAGTTATATGAGTAGCTAGGAGCAGCCCAGACAAGGTTTGTACCCTGGTCTTCTGACTCGAAACTCCTTACCCTTTGAGCTGTCCCATGTACCCAATAGAAGAAGGATGCAAGAACTGTGTCTGCACCACAGTCTTTGAAAAGATGAAGTTGTTTTGGTTTTCTTTCTTTCTTTTTTTTTTTAATAGGCAATTAAATAAGGAAAGAAGTAAAGGCTTGAGTGTGTGACTCATGAGCACGAGGTATGGGGTTGAATTGAAGACACCAGATCAGGCAACCAAGCTTAGCCTCATCACATGATGTGCCCCAGGCCCTCTTTAATTGAGCAGAGGAGGAGCTGGCCCTTGGCTGGGGCCAGGAGAACATCACTGCGGCTCTCCCCCAAGTGGCTGGAGCACAGGAAGCCCGAGTAGGAGAGCTGGCCTCAGCTGTGAGCTCAGCCCCCAGTCCCCATGGCAGGCCTCTGCTTTCTCCTGGTTCTTCTCTTGGCAGGCAGAATCCCGCTCGACGCTGCTACACGTAAGTAGCTCTCTCCATTTCTCCATTTGCTTCCCAGGAGGGATGGGGGGTGCTCCTGGAGGAGGCAGAGCCTGAGCTGAGGTCTGCAGAAAAGTTCCCCCAGCAAGAGTTCGGGCTTTCCTTGGGCAGAACTTCTCATTGTCCATCTCTGAAGAAGAGAAAACTGGAGCAAAAAGAGGTTTGTAGTATTATCATTTCCATTTGTGCTCTAGGGGAAACATTTTTTTTAGTGCTCTGATTCATCTACCCATTCAAGCATAAGCTCCCTGAGGGCAGGAATCACTTGCTTTCTGTATTCCCATCCCTGGCCCCTAGTAGAGTGCCTGGCACATGCTACAAAGATGGCCCACCCTCCCTGAGGATGCCCTTTGAGCTGCCTTCCCATTGGTGGAACCTCATGCTCTGGGCTGGATGTCTGCATTCATCTGGGGCTGCTGGCCTCCACCGCAGAGCAGGCTGGCCTCATTGAACTCCTCTGGCTTCTATCTGATAAAGACCTCAGATGAGCTGATGCCCAAGGTATAGGACAGAGAGCTGAGGACCCAAGCACTGGAATAATCCTCAGTGTCTCCGAAGGGGCGTTTCTAAATTCTTCCTTTTTTGGCTTCCCCGCCAAAGATTTGCAGGAGCTTGTTAACTGGCTCGGGTGGGGCTCATATGGCTGATACAGAGTTGGCTCGGGTCCTGTTGTACAAGTTGAAGGAGGTCAGAGAAGGGAAAAAAAGGAGGTTGTCTCAAAACCTGTCCTTGAACCAGAGATAGCCTAGATTAGGGCGAGGGAGACAAAGCAGGTGGCTGAGCAAGACTTCCTCTGACACTAGCTGATTTTACCGTGGTGTGCCTTGGTGGGGAAAGCGCAGGACTTGGAAGCAAGGGACCTGTCACCATGGGCAGCCCATTTCACCACTAGAAACCTCAGTTTCCTCATCTGTAAAATGAGAGATTGAATTAGGATGTCTCTGACATCTCTTCTAGGTCTGGATCTGTGATCCATCAAGACACAAACATTTATTGAGCATTTCCTGTATATATTCTTGCTACTTTGTGCTTGGGGATACAAAGCACTGGGGAGATAAACCCCCGCCCCCTAGCAGCTTACATTCTAAAGGGGAGAGACAACATATAAATGCAAAAAAGATGCCCACGCAGTAGCCATAACTTAAATTTAGAAGAGAAGGCTCCAGTTTGGAATCTGTGATCCCTCTGAGTTCCAAGGCAGTGATTCCAGAATCAAGAGCATCCCCATTGAAAGTCCTGTGTCCCAGATGGCATCTGGACTCTGGAAAGGGGGCCCTAACACCTCAGATCATTAAGCTGCCTCAGTGTTTGCCCTGGTCTGCTCCAGGAAATACCTCTAATTCAGAGGACAGCCTCTGGAAGTTCCTCAGGGCTATGTGCCAAAGTGCTATCTTTTCTCACAGTCTCATCCTTTTTATTTTCCTGAGAGATCCTATAGATAGGCCCCTCTCCTTTCCATGACTCTTTTTTTTTCTTTTTAGGCAGTTGGGGTTAAGTGACTTGCCCAGGGTCACACAGCTAGTAAGTGTCAAGTGTTTGGTCTGAGGCCGGATTTGAGCTCAGGTCCTCCTGACTTCAGGGCCAGTGCTCTATCCACTGAACCACCTAACTGCCCCCCTTTCCATGAGCATGGATTTGAAGTTAAAGGACTGGGTTCAAATCTCAGCTCAGTCACTTACTCTGTGTAACTTTGGGCAAATCACTTAGCTTTTGGGGGCCTCAGTGTCCTCATCTATGAGAGTCGAGGGTTGAATTAAGGTCCCTTCCAGCTCTAGACCGGCGGTCCTTTGACAGAGGGTGGAGAGCAGATGGAGCTCTGGGAAGCGATGAAAAGAGGGAGGGAGGAGGTGAAGACCTAACTAGTCCCTCTCAGTTCCCATGATCTCCTGAGCCATCAAAACCCCTTTCTCATGTGTGGGGCGGCTTCTATAGCTAGGGATGGGTCGGGTGGAGAAGGAAGGCAGATGTCTGAGCCTGCCTGCTCCTGGCAGGGAACAGCTAAATGCTTCTTCCAGATGGGCTACAGAGTTCCAGGTGGGCCCCAACCCCAGCCCCAGGGTGCGAGCTGGGGCCTGGTGGGGGCAAAGCTGCCCTGAGTGCCACAGCCTAGAATGTGTAACCAAGGAAGGGATCTCCGCACAGACTTTCCCTGGGCGTGGGCAGGCGGGTTATGCCCTTTCCCAGCCTTTCTATCTGTCTGTCTGCTGGGACTAGATCTGCAGGCACCTCTGGCCTAGGGAATGTTATAGGACCTGGTGTTTGGGCTTTGAAATGGATGAAATCTGGAGTTTGTTTTTTTGAGGGGTGGGCAGAGAAGCTCCATTTGGGACCCTTCACCAGCCTTTGAATCTTTGTGTCTCTCTTCCTAGGCTAGACTTGTCGTCAGAAAGCCTGGGTTCAAGCTTTGGCTATAACAACGACAACAGCAGCTGATATTTATATAGTGCCTACTGTGTGCCAGGCACGGTGTGATGCCTCATCTTATCTTTATAGCAACGCTGGGAGGTAGATGCTGTTATTATCATCCCCATTTTACAGATGAGGAAACTGAGGCAAAGTAGGGTAAGTAGGGTTAAGTGCCTTGCCCAGGGTCATAAGCTAGTAAGTAAAAAAAAAAATGAAAACACTGCCGGCAATGACTACCTCTGCAGGTGATGAAAAGCACTTGCAGATTCAGTGTGGGGGCAATGGAGAGCGCTGTAGGTGCAGTTCGAGGTCCTGGGTTCAAGGCTTCTCTTTCCCACTTCCTGGCCGAGTGCCCTCCGGGGGCCACGCTGAACCTCCTGAGTCTCAGGTCCGTCCCCACTAACATCCGTGCTAGCTTCCCCTCAAGCATCCACGGCCCTCTCAGAACTCCCTTCGGCAAACAAAGTGCGGCGTGCTGGACCGTCTCCATCCTGATGCCTGATGAAGAAACATGGTTTCCCCCTCTGAGAGCACTGAGGGCTACACAGGAGGACCGGGCGGTGGTGCTGATCCTCCGTGACTCCATCTGGAGTTTTCTTGGCAGATGCTGGAGCGGTTAGCCATTTCCTCCTCCAACTCATTTGACAGATGAGGAAACTGAGGCAAACGGGGTTCGGTGACTTGTCCAGGCTCACACAGCTAGTAAGTGTTTGAGGCTGGATTTGAACTCAGGTCCTTGTGACTCCAGGCCCAGCACTCTATCCGCTGTGCCACCAGGCTGCCAGAGGACCTCAGTATAAACTTTCAAATGTGCTGGTTGTAGCAATTGATGGCTTAATTTCAATTTTTGTTCTTTGGGTCCAAGGTAAGCGGAGACTTAGGAGGAAAGAAATATATGGCATAAGAATGATTAAAAACAATTTTTTTGAGCTGCCCTCTAACCCACCAAGGGACAGGTAGGTAGCCTAGTGAATAGCAAACTGGGCCTGGAATCAGGAAGACTTGAGTTCAAATCCAGCCTCAGACACTTACTAGGTGTGGGACTCCGGGCGAGTCACTTGCTCTTTGTCTGCCTCAGTTTCCCCAATTGTCAAATGGAGGTGATAATAGCACCTCCCTCCCAGGGTTGTTGTGAGGCTCAAATGAGGTGGTAATTGTAAAGCACGAAGCATGCTGCCCGGCACGTAGTAGGCGTTATAGGAGCGCTAGCTATTATTATCAGAATCTGTAGAGGCAAAGTTTGAACCAATGTCCTTGACCCCAAATCTGTGTTTTCCACTACACCTGCCTCTCATTGCTGGTTTCAGAGCAGGGATTGTATCGGTCCTTCTCAATGATTGCTATTTTTACCCCCCCGTATTGGTTCTGAGAGCAGTTTTATGAAGAACAGTTTCTGAAGGTTTATAATTAAGAAACAAAACAACAGGCAAGAAATGTGGGTCTTCCTTTTACAAACGTCAGACAGGAAGAGGTTGCCCCAGCACTGGCCCCTGCCCTGAGAGGCAGGTCCAGGGCCTGTAAGCTCCCTGAGGGCCAGGACTGTTGGGGGACACAGTAGGCAGTCAACAGATGTCTATGGGATGCTGTTATTCTATTAATCTTTAAAAAAAATTTTCCATAATGGTGATATTTGGTATGTAACTGATAACTAGATTATTTATTAACTATTAAAGATTTTCCTCAAATGCATGTTGGACCATGACACTCCCCTCCTCACTAAATGTCAGCAGATCCCTATTAGTCTAGGATATAATAGAAATCTCCTTTGGTCATCTAAAGCCCTTTGTGACCTGACTCTGCCTATGATTTTAGGCTTATTCTACTTTACTCACCTTTCAAGCACCCTATGATTCAGCCAAACTGGCTGTGCCCTTGCTTGGAATGCCTGTCCGTCTGTCCTGCTGCCTTTTGCAAGCCGCTTCTTTTTCCTCCAAGACTCTGTCCAACATGAAAGCTGTCCTGATCTCCTCAGCCCTTAGTGTCTTTCTCCTTGAAATAACTTATCATAATGTGGGTTATTCAGGGGAACCCCTTGAGCTAATGGACCAGGGCATCTCCCATGGAGCTTGAATCTGTTTGAGGGACATGAGCTCTGGAATATATTCCCCCAGCAGCTACTAGCTGGATGCCAGCATAGATGCATAGAGCACTGACCTGGAGTCAGGAAGACCTGAGTTCAAATCCAGCCTCACACACTTACTAACTGGGCAATCCTGGACAAGTCACTTAACCTCTGCCTTCCCTAATTTCCTTTTCTGTAAAATGGGATAATAATAACACCCATTGTTGTGAGATCAAATGAGACAATATTTGTAAAATGCTTTTCAAATCATAAAACATACAAATGATAGCTAGCTATAAAATACAACTTCCTGAAAGGCAAGAAACGATTTGTTTTTGTCTGTATCCCCATCCCAGAGTCTAGCACTGCGTCTGGTACCCAGGAGTCACTTCACAAATACTGGTTGATTGATTAGTTGACTTAAATAATAGTAAATTATTATTCCTTTGTTTGCCTGATAAACCAGGTCGTCTATGGGTGGGTGTTCTTTGCTCGGCAGAATAGGCAAAAATTGCTTCCCGTGTGTCCTGTGCTCACATAAGAATTTCCTTGCTGGACACCAGAGTGGAGTGGGGACCAATGGCCATTTGTGTCCTTCTCCATCCTAATTTAGGATTTCAAGACGTGGCGAGCCACGGAGGAGCAGCTGCCCCTGTCATCAGGCACCAGGACCGACTCCACGGCTGGTCTCCTGACCAAAGCATGTGGAATGAAAAACTCTACCCTGTCTGGAAAGAGGGGGACTCCCGGTGGAAAAGCTGCTGGAAAGGTAGTGAGGAGGTCAACACACCCACAGGTTCCAGGAAAATAAAAAGAAGCGGTCGGGCTATTTTGGCCTCCCTGCTGCCACGGTCACCCAAACTGGCTTTTGCGTGTGGCAGAGCTGTAATCACTGACCAGTAGTGCCTGGATTTTATGGGACTTTGCTTTCTGCTCAGAAAAATGATAGTTATTATTATAATGTAATAGAATAAAACACAATCAATTATATTATATTATTATTGCTATTTTGCATATGAAAGAGCTGTAATTACATACCGCTATTACCTAGATTTTGCAGGACATGCTTTCTGCTCAGCAAGAATAATAATAACAATAATAATGATAATTATGATATAATAACATATTATTTTGCATATGAAAGAGCTGTAATCACATACAATATTGCCTGGATTTTGCAGGACTTTGCATCCTGCTCAGCAAAAATCATTGTTAAAATGATGATATGACATCATATTACATTATACTCTGTCTTATATTTTATCATATTGCATAATGTTATTATTGTTATTTTCAATGACAGAGTCATAATTAAACATTAATATTTTACCTGGATTTTGCAGAACTTTGCTTTCTGCTTAACAATGGTAATAACAAATATTATTTTGCATATGACAGAATTATAATTACATACCAGCTTTACCTAGATTTTGCCGGACTTTACTTTCAGCTTAGCAAAAGTAATCATTATTATTATTATGTAATGAAGTAAAAGACATTAAGATATAGTATAGTGTAATATTATATAATATTATTGTTTTTATTTTGCATATGACATGGCTGTAATTGCATACCAATATTGCCTGGATTTTACAGGACTTTGCTTTTTGCTCAGTAGTAGTAACAATAATAATAACAACATTGTTATTAATAACAAAATATTACTTTGTCTATGACAGAGGTGTAATTACATACAGTATTACCTAAGTTTTACAGGACTTTGCTTTCTGCTTACTAATAATATTAATACTAATAATGTTGATTTATATTAATAATACTAACAACAATAATACCATTCTGCATATGACAGAGCTATAATCACATACCAGTGTTGACTCGAATTTTGCAGGACTTTACTTTCTGCTCAGCAAAAATAATAACATTATTTTATAATTTAATATTATGTAACATTACATATTATCATTGTTATTTTGCACGACAGAGCTGTAATTGATATCAGCATTACCTGGATTTTGCAGGACTTTGCTTTCTCCTCAGCAAAAACTAACAGTAATAATAGCTATTATTCTTATTTTAAAAATCACTGCAGATATTACAGCTTGCTTTCATTGACAAGAAACATTCTCGCTCTCTAGCTACTCAGTTCTTTCTTCTTAGATCTTCCACCAACCTCCCCATCCCACCCCACTCCATGGGGAATGGCTTCGGGTCTGATGGTTTACTAACTGGTCATTCTGGGACCAGATGGAGGAGAGATTGTGCACAAAAGCTGAGCGCTAGGAGGGGGGTTAGACAGTCACTACCCCTTAACTCCCAAGTGTTCCCCAGTATTGTCCTAGTGCATGTGGGTGGCAAAGGGAGCCCTCGTCTGACTCTTCACTACTGATGAATGACTTGGTGGGCTCCAAGCAATGGTTCTGAGAGTTAAACTTACAGAGAGATGTGTGTAGTTTATAATAACCATTAAGAGAAATGCAGGTGCCAAATTTGATTTCTTACAAGGCTGGCCTAGAGATGAAAGAGCTAGCCCGGAAGTCCAGAAGCCCTGGGCTCTAGCCTCACCTCTGCCAGGCTCTGGCTGAGTGATTCCAGTTAGACCATGTCACCCCACTGTGCCCCTGACACTCTGACACTATAAACTGCAGAGACACTCGCCTACATTGGGGCAGGGTGCTTCTTCATCTGTGAGTACCCCAGACCAGTGAGTGAAATACCAGGTCCATTCCCTGTCCTTATTCTATGTTCTGTGTTCACTCCCAGAGGAAAGGAACAGGTCCTGCTGGGTTAGTGCTCAGGGACCTTCCTCATTTTGTTTTAATTTCCAGGAGGACAGGTGCGGGCCATCCTGACCAGTGACTCCCCAGCACTGGTAGGATCCAACATCACCTTTGTAGTGAGCCTGGTGTTTCCCAGATGCCAGAAGGAAGACGAAAGCGGTAACATCATCTATGAGTGGAGCTGCAAGAACGGTGAGTAGGTGGCCACAGCCGCGCGACCCCAGAGAGGGCCGTGGCTCTGAAGACACAAGATCTGGGTCAAATGTTGGCTCTGCCACTTGGCATAAGGGATTAGCCTCTGACTCCATCTAGTCCAACCAAGCCTCTCGTTTTACAGCTGGGAAAACCAAGACCCGTGGAGCTTAAATGATAACAAGGTCACCCGGGTCCTAAGTGCTGAAGGCAGAATTGAACCGCGCTCCTTCGTCTCCCCGCCTGTCCCCTGTACTGCCCTCCCTTTCTGCCAGGAGTGCTCATGAATATTCTCTCCCCTCTCTGTACGTCAATTTTCTCATCTGTAAAATGATGAGGTTGGGACAGACAGCTGTTCAGGTGCCTCTTTGACCTCCATCTTTCATCTCTCAGCTTTTTCCATTCCTAACATTGATGGGATGGCATTCTCACAGCCATCATAAGTTAACCAAGCTACAACGCTAGGGTAGCCCATGAAAAATAAATTATCTCAGCCATGGAGATTTGGAGAAATTTGTGGTTCTGGCTCGAATGTACAGCTGTCCCCAACTGAGGGACAGTAGGGTGGCTGCTTGGCCCCATCTAGTTTCCTCTTAAAAAAAAAAAAGAGAAGAAGGAAAGAAAAAGAGAGAGAGAGACAGAGAGAGAGAGAGAGAGAGAGAGAGAGAGAGAGAGAGAGAGAGAGAGAGAGAGAGAGAGAGAGAGAGAGAGAAAGAGAAAGAGAAAGAGAGGAGTTAGTTCTTCTAAGAGGGATCTGGGTGAGCAGAACCGCCTCACAAAGGCTGTATTGTCAGGTACAGGCTTTTTCCTAGGCTCAAGTGGGACTCTCCAGGCTGGTTCTCAACAGGGTTTTTGTGCTGGGAATCTTAGCTCTTTGGGCTATTCAGAGAACAGACAATTTGACAGATGGGTCCAATGATTTTCATTTCAATGACTTTAGCACCTACTATGTGCCTGACCCAGTTAAGACTTGTGATATTTGTTTCATTTTATCTTTCTTTAAAGCAGCTAAGATACCACCGCCAGATTTTTGTATTTCATAGCAAATGGAATGTGTCTAGTTACTGTTGTTAGACTAATAATAATAATGATGATGATGATGATGTAGTTATAATAATAATGATGATAATAATAATAGCTACTGTTAAAATAATCAGTAATTGTAGTAATAATAATAGTAATAGTTACAATAATCAGAGTTGTAGTAATAATAGTAATAGTTATAATAATCAGAGGAGTAGGAGTAATAATAGTGATAGTTACAATAATCAGAGGAATAGTACTCCTACTAATAATAGTAGAAGTAGAAATAATAGTAGAAGAATAGTGGTTATAATAATCAGAGTGGTAGTAATAATAATAATAGTAATAGTCATAATAAGAATGATGGTAGTAATAATAATAATAAGGGAGTGAATATTTGGTGAAATACAGGTCTAATTAATCAACTTCTTTAATCAAAGAAAAATTACAAAATAGAACAAAAATTTCTGATCTAGACCTGTGATTTTTATCCTCGTGGGAGAGCCTGGGATGGAAAATTTCTGCCCTGCTGTAGGTCAGCAACTGTCTGTAACTTGTAGTCTTAGAGGGCTATGTGGGAGACCAAGAGGTTAAGTGGCTTGCCCAGGGGTCACCCAGACAGTCTCGTACATGTCAGAGGCGCGGCTCAATTGAGGAAGCCTTTCAGACTCAAGGCTACTTCTTTTTTGCATGTTAACATCAATACAGAAAAAAGAATCTTCTTAGCTGATGCTGTTAAGATGACATATTCCCTGAACTAGGGGGTGTAATTAATCAACTTCTTTAGTTAATCAAAGAAAGCTTGCAAAAGGGAAATTAGCAAGACCGGTGTGGGAATTGCACTGTTTCTAATCACTCACTCAGACCTCTTCTATGTTCCATTCCAGTGAGTTTTTCCCCATCCCCAGATGCAAACCCAGACTGGCTGGTATTGAAGAGAGTTTAGAATTTCCTAGGATTCCTTACTCTTTTTTTAAACAAACAAACACAATAGCACCACATAGCTTATTGCTTCTAAGTAACATATTTCAAGGAGAGATTATATTAACTGAAAATGACTGGCCATTCATTGATGTCAAGAATGCAGAGTTGAATAGCCTTCAATATAGAATTTAAGATTTAAGAGAACCTTTGAAAAATAGAAAAATATCCTTTTTGCTCCTCTTTGATAAGAACAACAATAAAGAATAATCCGTGACCATGTCCCAATTAGGCCCTGGGTACCATGAGATGGCTCTATTCTTCAAGATGAGAGTCTTTGCTTACAATCTCTACAATTAGATGCGCGACTTAATTAGCGCACATTTAGGGACCCTCATTACTCATTTAGTTTTATAAATAGACTTAAGTCTTCTGGCTAATGAGGCCCGGCCACTGTATCGGGCTCTGAGTTGGAAGTCAGAGGAGAGCTTGGCCATTTGTTATTTTTAGTGGGATAATGATCTTGGAAGATGGGCCAGGAAGAATGCGGGGGCCATTATGACCCTGCTTCTGCTCCACAGTCTGGATTTCAAGTCCAGCTCAACTAACTAGTTCTAAAACCAGGCTCCTGTCAGTAATTTCATACATGCAAAAGAGTCCTTGTGATTTTTTTTTAAACAAAACTTCTCATGAAAAAACCATCAGTTGGATTTGAATGGGCTGGTGATTTGAGAACCAATCAGTAGATAAGTGCCACATTAGGTAATTAGCCTAAGCCCAGACAGAATTATAGGTTTTCAACTGCCCTTCTATATTTATAATGGGTTGGGGGTTGGGGGTGGGAAGACCCTACTGTCAGCTCCCATCTCCCTCCATTCTCCCCCCTCCCATGTGGATTCTGACCCATTCCTTTCTGTGTGTAGGCACTGCCTCATCTCTGGATTCTTACGTGTACAACTGGACGGTGTGGACTGAGGAGCGAGATTGGGGAAAGTGCCCAAACAGAAGTACCCATCATGTGTTTCCAGATGGGAAGCCCTTTCCTTGCCATCCTGGATGGAAGAGGAAGAATTTTGTTTACATCTTTCATACACTTGGTTGGTATTTTATCAGATCTTTTCCTTTCTATTCCCTTAGCTAGATCTAGAGGAAATCAGGAAGACCTGGGTTCAGACATTTACTATCAGGTAACCCCCAACAAGTCATTTCACTTTTCTGAGTCTCGATTTCCCCCTCTATAGATCAGACCACTAAGGTTCCTTCTGACTCTCAGTCTCGGATGTTATAACAACTGTTCCACCCTGTGTATGAAGTGTACATGGCGGCTCTCATTAGTATCTACTGAACAAGATTATTGTGAGGTGTGACAACTGAAATAATCCTCAGCTCATAACCCTAGAGCCTGAAGACTCTTTATAGAGAATGCTGAGTTCCACCCTCTCATTTTACAGAGAAGAATGTAAGGCACTTTGCAAACTTTACAACATTCTACAAATGTTTATTGTGGTGGTGGTGGTGGTGGTGGGTAGGCATTTTGACATCCTTGTTCTCTGCTTATAAGAATTTAAGAATTGTTTACATCAAAGGGATCCCAATGGAAGCACTGTTAAATTCCCTGAGCTTTGAAAGGAAGGATGGAATGTGCGAGTTAGAGCCTCAGCTCTGCTGGTAACAAGCTGTGTGGCCATGACCTGTGACTTTGACTCTGTGGGCTATGGTTCCCTTATGTGTAAGACAATAGAGTTGGGCCAGATCATCTCCAAAACCCCTTCCGGAGTTAACATTCCCCACCTCTGACCCACCTGTCCACCCTCACATCCCATTCAGGACTGCTCTGTGCAGTTTGAGGGCATTCTCCTTCCCTTCGGAGATTTCACTTAGGGTTGGTCCTCTTTCCTTTGGCTCCCATCAACAATTATACAGTAACTCTATGTTTTGGGTGAAGTAGAGTTTTCTCTTTTGTCTAGTCGTGGTTATAGAGTCTTTATTTGTAACATGGAGTCTGTCCTCATGAGATTTATGCATTCGGTTCCATTTGAATCAATAGGCATTTTATTTTCTCCATAGTCTCCTCCAGTGGAGATCCTGGGATCTCATTTGATTTCCCCCCCATCCACCCATCCCACAGGGTTATATAAGATATAATATATTCACTCACAAAGACAGACAGAATGAAAAGAGCCTGGGATTTGGAATAAGAAGGTTCCAGCTTCATGCTCAAGTCACTTAATGTCTCTGTCCTTAACTTTGCTGCATTCTTGGGAGGGGTCAATTAGAATGTATATTCTGAGCTCTTTGTAACTGGAAAGCCCTTTTGAAAATGAGCGATTATTATGACTGGTCTCATAAAAGCCATGGATACGTTAGAGACTGCCTGTATTATCCCATTATCCACTTTTCATTTTGTCCAAACCCAGGGAGACTCCCCAAGAAATCCATGGTTCGTTTTGCTGTTCAGTCATTTCAGTCATGTCTGACTCTTCATGACCCCATTTGGGCTTTCCTGGGCAAAGATACTAGAGTGGTTGGCCATTTCCTTCTCCAGCTCATTTTACAGATGAGGAGACTGAGGCAAACAGGGTGAAGTGACTTGTTCAGAGTCACACAGCTAATAAGCATCTGAGGCCAGATTTGAACTCAGGAAGATGAGTCTTCCTGAACTTCAGGGCTGATGCCCTATCCACTGTACCACCTAGCTGCACAGTGCTCTACCTCCTGTGCCCCCTCCTTGAGTTAATGTAAAAACAAACAAGTATCAGAAAGCCTCTTGTTGTGATAGTCAAGGACACATTCTTTCCACTCATCCACCCACCTCCAATAAATAGTATTACTGCCTTTTGGTTTTAACACCTTAGTCCTAGAGTCTCCTCTCTGTCCCTTGGAACAAAGAAAAACAGCTAAACAAAAACGCCTGCTACTGTTACCAGACCTAACAGTGTGTTGCAACCTTGAGCCCTTTCTGCAAATATAATGACAGCTAACATTTATCTGTGGTGCTTTAAGGTTTGCAAAGCAATTTGCAAATGCTACCTCATTTGATACTCACAACAACCCTGGGAGGCAGGTACTCTTGTTATCCTATTTTACAGATGAGGAAACTGAGGCCAAAAAAAAGGTTAAGTGATTTGCTTGGGGTTACACAGCTAGTAAATGTCTGAGGCCAGATTTGAACGAAGGTCTTCTTTGACTTCTAGGTCTAGCACTCCATCTACCATGCCACTTCACGCTGCTTCACTGGGGCAAGTAGGAGGCTCAGTGAATAGAGAGCACTGAGCCTGGAGTCAGGCACACTGCAGTTCAAATTCAACCCCGTACACTTAGAAGCTGTGTGACCTGGGGCAAGTCACTTAACTTCTGTCTGCCTCAGTTTCCTGATCTGTAAAATGGGGAACCTCCCAGGGTTGTTATGACGATCAAATGAGATAATTGCACAGTGCCCAACACATAGTAGGTGCTATAAAAGTGTTAGTTATTATTATTATTATTATTGTTATTGTTATTAGTTTTTCAGTTACTCAGAGTTGGCTTCTTTTTCAGTAACCTTTTCTTTTTCCGCCGTTGTTCATTTTCCCCTGCTTACTCCATTCTGCGTGAGTCTGTGCAAATCTCCCCACATTTCTCTAAATTCCTGACAGTTCGCATTTCTTCATGTACCACCATATTCCTTTATATTCCTATAATACACTTCTTTCAACCTTTTCCCAGTCCGTTTCTCTTTCTCGCCCTAGTGCCTAGCTCAGTGTCTGGCCAATAGCAGCTGCTTAGTGGCGGTTTGTTGAATTGAATTGATCGGCAGCTACTTTGTTTACAACTTTTTATTGCCACAGAAAGTTCTGGTATGGACAGTTCGGTATACGTGTATTAGATCTTTGTTTCTGCTTTCCACCTTCTTGAGCTATGTGCGTTGCGGCCGGATTCCTGGATTGAAAGGTATGAACAATTTAGTCATTTTTCTTGCATTATCGTAAATTGGTATCTAGGACTGTCAGACAAATTCACAGCTCCATCACAGGCGTATCTGTCTTCCCGCAGCCCCTCCAGCACTGACTGCTTTCATCTTGTGTTATCTTTGTTAATTCATGTGAGGTGAAGCCTCAGAGCTATTCTAATTTACATTTCTCTTATCTGTGACATGGAGCATGTTTTCCTACGGTCACTTAGAGTTTGCAATTCTTTTTTTTGGAAAATTGTTCATACCTTTTGACTACTTATCTGTTGGGAAAGGGCTGTTGGATTTTTTTCTTTCATCAATTTTCTGTGTATGTTAGATGTTAGACTTTTATTAGCAATGTTTGATGAAAAAAAAATTTCCACACCACTTTTTCGCTTCTTATTCAATCTTCATTTTGTTCAGAAAAAGCTTCTTAAATTTGATGTGACCAAAATTGTCTGCTTTGTCTTCTATGACCACTTCTATATCTTATTTGGTTAAGAATTCTTCCTCCACCTGTGGATGTGAAAAGTAGGTCCTTCCATTTTCCTCATTTTTAAAAATGTTCCCTTTTATGTTTAATCTCCATCTTTATTTGGAGTTTATTGTGGCACATGATATAAGATTCTGGTCTGAATCTATTGATGCCAAACTGTTATCCAGCTTTCCCAGAAGTGCTTGTAAAACACAGAGTCTTTCCTCCAGTAATTTATGTTTCTGGGTTTAGAAAGTACTGGGTTATTATTTTCATTTCCCTTCTTCCACTAAAACCCCCTACCACGCAAGGGGTGACCCTGTGCTCTTCTAGGTCCATTGCATTTCTCATTCAGGCCTTAGTTTTTAATTTTAAATTTTTTTATTTAAATTTTTAATTTTTAAATAAATTCTCCTTCTTGGGCCAATAAGATGACTTTTATTCAAGTCTGGAGTCTGATAAAACTGTGTTCCTGTTTGGTTGGGTAGCAGTCTGGAAGGGAATTGTTTTTGCTGAATTGTGTATTGTATGGACTATCTAAAATGTAAAGCCTAGAGTTGCATTCTTGTTTCTAAGAATCTGTCAGGAGCAAGGGACAGAAGCAGAAGCTTTGAGTAAAGTGTCAAAGTGACAGGCTGAACTAACTTCCTAACAGTTAGAATTACCCCAAAGTGGAGCAGGCTGCCACAGTAAATAATGAACTCCCCCACCTTGGAGGTCTTTAAGCAGAGACTAAGTAGCCTCCTGCTGGGTTTGCTATTGTGGGATTCTTTTGCAGGTCCGGGTTGGACTACATGCTTGTGGTGCCTTCTAAGCCCTCCAGCCATTCTTTCAGAACCAGACCTCCTATAATTGATGACTACAATTTGCCTTTTCTCCTAGGCCAGTATTTCCCAAAATTGGGACGATCTTCAGCTATAGTTTCTGTTAACACAGCCAACATGTCTCTTGGCCCCCAACTCATGGAAGTGACTGTGTACAGAAGAGGACACAGAGCCTATGTTCCAGTTGCATCTACCAGGGATGTATATATGGTAACAGGTAAGTGATTTACCTGTGAATATTGTAAGAAATTTGGAGCTTACCAATAAGAAATCAAATCGTCTGAGCAACGTGGATTTGAGGGTAGGTTAGGGCACCCTTGGGTAATTTAGAGGTGTTTTCTCCATTTTAACTCTAATTGCAGAGTGTTTCCCCCAGGTTTTAAGAGCCCCATATGCAATGCTGTTCATTGTTCCATTCAACAATGATGTATCCTAGGTGCCTAGCACCAGTAGCCAGGCTGAGGAGACAGATCGAGAGTTAACTTGCCCCTTATAGATATACAACTACATAGGGGCCATATGTCACATACAAGTAAGTGTTCAATACAAGAGGACTGTAGCATAAAGGTGAATAGAGTGGAATGGAGCAGAATAAGCTAAAGAGAACCAAATTCCTGTTTAGTGTCGGAGGAAAGATCGTTTCTGACTTGGGCAATCAGGGAAGGCACCCAGGAATGAGATGGCATTGAAGCCTTGAAGCCTAGCAAAGATTTCAGTAGGGACCCACAAATGGCAGGGACGAAAGGAGGTCACGTGAGACACGGGCCAATGGTGTGATTCAAGACTGAGAAGGAAAATTGTTGTTCGGTCATTTTCCAGTCATGTCTCACTCTTCGTGACCCCATTTAGCTTGGCAGAGCTACTGGAGGGGTTTGCCCTTTCCTTGTCTAGCTCATTTTACAGATGAGGAAACTGAGGCAAGCAGGATGAAGTGACTGGTCCAGGGTCACATAGCTAGTAAGTGTCTGAGGCTAGATTTGAACACAGGAAAATGAGTCTTTCTGAACTTCGGGGCTGATGCTCTACCCACTGCACCACCTAGCTACCCAAAGAAGGAAAACATGGAGGCATTTTAGCTTCTAGGAAAACTCTAGCAAATAGAAAATCCGGTATACTTTTTATATTTCACACATTGATTTTTATTGCCTTAGAACTTAAAGACTATTACTTTAAGCCAAATCATCATGTTTTTATTCGCTTACTTTTGTGTGCTGGGGGGATGGGGTCTTACAGACGAAATCCCCGTATTTGTGAATATGTCCCAGAAGAATGATCGCAATTCATCCGATGCCGTCTTCATCAAGGACCTTCCTGTCGTATTCGACGTTCACCTCCATGATCCCAGCCACTTCCTGAACACTTCCACAATCCACTACAAGTGGGAGTTTGGAGACAACAGTGGCCTCTTCGTTTCCAACAGTCCTGTTTTTAATCATACTTACACACTCAATGGGAGCTTCATTCTTAACCTGACCGTCCAAGCTGCTGCCCCTGGACTGTGTCCTAGGCCTTCACCCACTCCCCCAGCGCCTACCTCTGCTCACTCTATAGGTAAGCACAAAGCAGGTAAGCATTTTGTGATACACCATTGTGGATGTCTTCCCCCACAGTGGAGGAAGACATTTCAATTCCAGTGATATTTTTAGATTGCTGATTTAAAGCAGTGGCTAGAGATAATGCAATTATCCTGTAACAGCACCTATTTTTAAAAAAAAATCATTAATCACCACGGCAGGGTTAGGAAGAATGAAAGGGATCATGCATACTGCTTGTTACACGGGGAAAAGGGTAAAGGTTCAAAGGAGCTTGGTAGGCTAAGCTGTAGGGCTCCTGATAATCACAGAATCTTGGCATTACAAGGGCTGCCGCCATCGCATGCCCCCAGAACAAATCTCTATGAAGTATTGGCAAATGTCTTGGAGACCTCCAGTTAGAGAGACTCCCTTCCTGTTTTCCTCCCTGGTAAGGGTTCACTGGGTAGGGAGATCTATGTTAGGGTTATCACGTTCCACTAGGGACAAAAATTCTAATGATTCAGCAAAGCTCTCTGACTCGTCACCACAGCTTTAGAGCTGGAAGGGAACTTAGAGGCCATCATCCACCCCCCTCATTTTACAGGTCAGGAAACTGAGGCTAAGAGAGGTTAAGGAACATCCCCAGGGTCACTCAGCTAGTAAGTATTTGCTGCAGGATTTAAACTCAGATCTTCCTGACTCCAAGAGGAGCACTCTGTCCACTGAGGTGCCACCTAGCTGCTCTCCTAGCCTTGCCTATATCAATCAGTCAATCAATAAACATGTATTAAGTGCCTACAATGTGCCAAGCACTGTGCTATTTCTACTTCTCTCTTTATTCTCCTAAGTTAGGACAACTCTAGTCTTTGTTCCGGGGAACCGCACAAGCCCCTACAAAACCCGAACCAAGACAATAAACATCCCCTAATCCTTATCAATACCTAGGCACCCCCTGCACAAGTGGCCGTGCCACAAAATACAAGACAGAGCCAGAAGAGAGCTGCGGAGTGCTGCTGGCTGAGTTCTGGGAAGGGAGGGAGCACCCCTGACCGAGGGCGAGTAGTAGATGGCTTCAAAGAGGTGACGTCTGTAATCTGGGTAGGATGTCAGCAGCGGAGATGTGGCTGGGGGGAGGGACCGGCAAAGGAAGGACATTCCAAGAATACGGAAGACCGTAGACCGAGGCCTGATAGGTAAGAGCGCTCAGCCCATGCATCGAAGAGAGCAGGAACCAATTGTCTGGCAGGGGAGGTGAGGCTAGCCAGAAGGGCCAGGGCCAGGTCAGGGAAGGCCTGGAAAGAGGGGCCAAGGCGCCTGGACTTGATGCAGTAGCTAATGAACAGCCATTGAAAGGTTTTGAAGAAAGAGGTGCAAGGATCATAAAAGGAAGACGAGTCCACCGAGGCGCGGAGTGTGGAGGAGAGGCAGGAGGAGGTGGGACGGGGCAAGACCTTTTAGGAGATGAGGCAGCAAGGAGGAGCTGGGCCGAGGGGGACTACTGGTGCTTTAGCAGAGATTTGAAAGCTGTTTTGAATGTGGTCTAGCCCTGTGGTTTCACCAGCTGGGGGAACTCTCATTACCTCCAACTGATCATTTTAGAAAGTTGCCTGGAACACTGATTTGCTGGTATGTGTGAGAAGCCAGATTGGAGCCCAGGTTTCCTGTCTGGGAAGCCATTATCGCACGCGGGCTCTGCATCTTCAGGTATATGGACATCAGAATGACGTTTTTAAAAAAATCTGTAATTCAGATTTTGCCTAGGAAAGGCCCTTCTCCCCTCCCCATTCTTCTAGCTTAGCCCCACTCTTTGCTAAAACTGCATATGCACTCTGGGTTGAGAATTCCAGTGGGATGATTCTGGTCCTCTACATTTAAATAATAACAGATTCATCACAATGATGGCCATTCTGCAAGTCTGACTATGGACAAAGTGTATAGTCTAGTAAACACAGACTTGGGTTCATAATCATAGGTCTAGAGCTGGAAGAAACCATAGAGATCATCTAGCCAAACCTTCTCATTTTAAAGTTGGGGAAACTGAGTCTCAGAGAAGTCAAGCGACTCCTCCAACGTTACACATGGTAAGTGATAGAAGCAGGATTTGAACCCAGGCCCTCTGATTCCACTGTGTGCCTTGGTTGTTGAAATGGGCAGTGCAGAAAACTTGGAGCTCTTTCTCTTCTTTAGCAATACAAGAAAGTTGAGCCTGGAAAACAAAACTCAGGAGTAACCCCATTAAAGAAGCAACTGCAGAGACAGATGGGATTCAGAGGTGTCGGATGATGGCGTCCTGTGGGAGCTGTCATGCTCACCTTTCTGACTGACATGAGCATGTCTAGAAAAGTGGCCTTCGGGAGACTCGGTTTGATCGGTGTCTCATTTTCTAGTGGCAAGAAAATAACTTTTCTCATGTTACGTTGAACGTGGGCATGCTGCTTTTCTGCTCTCACGACGTTCTCTGTTGAAAGGGCATATTTCAATCCAGGGTGTAAACTTGGGGAGTCTTCAAGAGCTTCGTGGGAGGGCAAGGAAAAGAGAAGAAGAAAGCAGCTTTTGATCTCTGAAATTCTCAGCTACTAGTTCTAAGCGCCTTAATCCTGGCCTTATGGCTAGGATAATACCTGTGAGAGAAACTGCCTGCTAAAATTTATGAGCTTTCTACTGGAATTAAAGTGATGGAATCATTCCTAAAGGTGGAATCTCTTAGCTTTTGTTATACAGTTTAGAAAGAAATGTTACTTTAAGATACCAAATAGATGGTGCTTATTTACTCCAGTGAAATATTTTCATTTGAAATGACATGCTTTTCATGTGTGTTTATTCAGTGGACAGTCATTAGACATCTCTGATGCATGAGGCACTGTGCTAATCAACACGAGCCAGCCAGAGCTGCCCCACCTACTCTACCCCATTTCCCAAAATTTCTCAGCATCATCCCTTACTTTTTTCTTATTAAATGCTTTATTGATGCATTTATCTCTCTCTTGTTTTACTATCACTTACTTCCCAACGGTTCTTCTTCTCCCTTCCCCACCAGTTGAACCCTACCTATCTTTTCCCAGATGAGGACAGTTGAGAAAAACAAAGCAACACATTGGCCATGCCTGGTGCTGCCTGCCTTGTCCACACCTGTAGTGTACCCCCCTCTCTGCTGAAAGGCAGAAAGAATGCTTTGCCACCCATCCTTGGAAGCCATCACTGGTCTTGGGCTCCTTCAATCTATTGATCAACAAGCATTTAAGTGTATACTATGAGCCAGGCATTCAATCTGAAGACATCTTTCTATCTTCAATCTGGCCTTCTCCACTAGCTTCTTCCCATGTGCCTACAAATGTGCTCTAGTCTCCCCAATACTAAAAATGTCTTCTATCCCACTGAGTAACCATCCCAATATTCCCCCCAACATACTCCACTAAATTTCTTTAAAAAGTTGTCTACAACTCTCCCCTGAATTTTTTTTTTTTACTGTGACCCACACACACTCTTTCCTCACCTTGTAATTTGGAGTCTGTTCCAATGGTCTACAGAACTCCCCCTCTCTAAGATAACAAAAACTTCTTAATTGGTAATTCCAATGGGTTTTTTTTCAGTCTCCTTCCTTGACCCCTCTGCAGTATATAAAGCTGGTGCCATCTCTCTCCTCTCTTGCCAGTTATGATTTCTTCTTTGGCTTCAGAGACAGTTCTTATCCTGATTCTTCTCCTAGCAGTCCATTGTTCCTTATCTCCTCCTCATCCTCTGAAGGTGACTATTCCCAAAGGGGAATTGGCCCTCTCTTTTTACTCAATTCTCTCTGGGTAATCTCCTTCCCTGTCCCACCATCAACCACTATGGCCATGGAAATGATTCTCAAATCTCCTTCTAACTTTGACCTTTCTTCTAAGATCCACACCTTCACCTCAAAGTCAGCAGGAATTTTTTGCCAGGATTTCCCAGAGGGACCTCAAATTGAACATGCCCAAACTGAAATGGAATCTCTGTCCTTCTCCACCTGTTCCTCTACTCACCCAATCTCAACCTTTGAAACCTTAGTAATATCTTGGATTCTTTCACAAGACTACAGATTTAGTGTTCAAAGGGACCTCAGAGGTTGTGTTGAACCCTCTCATTTTACAGTGCAGGAAACAGAAACCCAGGAAGCATTGGAGGCAGGACAGAGCGCTGGTCCTCTGACCCAGGGTCAGTGACCCTACCCTTGAACCATGCTGCATCCCTTAGCTTCATAAGAGGTTCAAAGCAGTATGTCCAGAGGAGAGAAGGGTAACTTCTGCCCAGAGATTAGAGGAAAGAGAGCAGAACCAAGAGCAGCAGAGCTGAGTTCAGATGACAGTGCCTTTTCCCAGCCCAGCTCTGGCTCTGGTCACAAGGGGTGGGGCAATTTGTTCCTCAAGCATAATATGAAAGAGGAGAGAAGAGGAAAGTTTGTAGCTCAAGGGAACCTCTTCCTGCCTTCTTTTCCACTCTTCTCCCCCAAATGGCATTAGAATGGGATTCCAAATGAGATATAATAAGCTTTGAATATCATATGTCAACACCACTATTGTGAACTGATATTGGTTTGGGCGAAATGATTCAGGATATCTCTGTAGTCCACTTTGAATAGAGAGCGTGGGGTGAGTGAATACTGGGAGATAAGGCAAGAAAAGTAAACTGGAGCCAAAATCCTGAAGGGCCCAAATGCCAGGAAATGGAGGTTGGACTTGATTCAGGAGGCAATGGGGAGCCATTGACTGTTATTGAGCAGGGCAAGGACCACGATCAGAGTTGTGCTTTAGAAAGATTAATCTGGCCGTAGTGAGTGTAGATTGACATAATTTATGTAATTAAATTTCCATATGACTTTGGCTATTGTGATACATTTAATTCATCAAAACAAAATTCTCTCTCTAGAGCTTTTACTCTCCCTTTCTAGTATTTCAAAAGGAACCTTATAATTTTCACTATGAAAAATTAGTAAACATCCATGACCTCTGTAAATGAATCCAACACCAGACTGTTTTAGGGCCTTATTTATGAACATAACAGTCCCTTTACTGACCCAATCCAGATTTTGATACAGATCGGATCATTCAGCAGGATAGGGAATGCCTGGTGTGGAAGCCCCAAGGGAACAGCTCATCTTTAACTTAGAGTCTTTGAGAGTTGAATGCTTTCTGTAACCTTTAATGCTGTTTAATGGGGTTACTATTCTTGTGTCTTTGTGCTTGTTACTCTTACGAGCTGGGGTACTGAGTGACTTGCCTCTGACTCTACAGCCGTTCGTTACCTACATGTCAGGGACAGGACTTCCCCCAAGCCCTCTGGCCACAGCAGTGGTAGCCGTGCAGACTCAGTGGGCTGTGATGGTTCTCCAGAGGGAAGAAGCTAAACTCCCTACCTATGGGTAGTAAGACTACCGCAATTCCTCCTGCTAGGAAGCTGATAGTCCTCTGGGGCAGATAAAGCTCCAGAATTCGCATCTCAGTGCCATGAGAGAAGTTTCCGGGGAAGGTTTTTGGTTTTGTTTTGCCTTTTTTTCTTTAATGGGCATTTATAGTAGCTTTTGTGACTTTAGCCTTTATGAAGCAGGACTGCCCATCTCCTATCTCAGCCTGATGCAATGAATAGAGCCCTGGACCTGGAGTCAGGGAGACCTCAGTTTGAATCCAGCCTCAGACACTGATTAGCTGTGTGCCCCTAGGCAAGCCATTTAACTACTCTAAACCTCAGTTTCCCCATCCATACAATGGGGATAATAGCACCTTTCTCCAGGGTTGTGGTGAGGATCAAAGGAGACAATTGTAAAGTGCTTTGCCCACCTTTTGTTGTTGCTGTCTCAATCATGACCCTCTTTGGGGTTTTCTCTCTAGACACTGGGGCAGTCGGCCACTTCCTTCTCCAGCTCATTTTATAAGATGAGGAAACTGAGGCAAACAGGGGGAAAGAGGGCACAGATGTTCAACCTTATTTTATTTTATTTTTTTTGTAGGCAACCGGGGTTAAGTGACTTGCCCAGGGTCACAGAGCTAGTAAGTGTCTGAGGCCAGATTTGAACTCATGAAGATGAATCTTCCTGATTCCAAGCCCACTGTCCTATCCACTATGGAGCCACCTAGCTGCCCTTGCAAACCTTAAAGTTGCTGTATATATGCTTGCTAGGGTATGCCTTTTAAATTCAAATCAATTCAGTAAGTGGTTATTAAGGGCCTACCACACACCAGATGCAACAGTTCCTATCCTCAGGGAGGTTACATTGTGCCACAGGGAAACAACTTGGATACAGATAAGTAATTACAATGTAGTTTCAGAGATGTGGCAGGAACTAGGCAGGTGAAGAGGGTGAGAAAGGAGAGATCAGGAGAGGCTCCTCTGGGAGGCACCACCAGGTGTTGAGCCTTAAAAGGAGCTTAGGATGCTCAGAGGCAGAGGTGAGGAAGGAGCGTAAGTTAGGTATGGAACACCACTAGAAACTGAAAGACAAAATAAGGTTGGGACAGCTAGGTGGTGCAATGGCTAGAGCACTGGCCCTGGAGTCAGAAGGACCTGAGTTCAAATCTGGCCTCAGACACTTGACACTTACTAGCTGTGTGACCCTGGGCAAGTCACTTAACCCTGGTTGCTTACAAAAAAAAAATAAATAACATAAGGTTGAACATCTCTGCCCTCTTTCCCACTCTGTTAAACGGCCTTGACTTAATGAGGGCTTCGTCTATGATAAATAAGACACTACATCTTTTTAACGCCAACCAAAAGTGAATTTCCTAGAAATGATTCTGAATTCACGAAGGGGGGGAAAGGGCTTTTTTGCAATTCCCCTACGAGTTTCAGAATCTAAGCTCTTCCATTATACACCACATCCTCAGGGACCCAATCAGGTATTGGGATTGGTGTGTCTAGATACTTTAATACTTGAGTTTTTCCTTAATTACATCAATAAAGCCTGGAGCTCAAAAGAAACTTTTGTTATACACCCCATACATCAATTAGCAGGAATGTGGCTGTAGGGATTTGTGACCTGGATCAGGAGACTGGCTTTCGGCCTGGATTCTAGTGTTCCCACCATTCCTTCACCTTCTTTCTTTGAGATGTCTCCTTTTTTTTTGTTCTTGCACCCCCCAGTGCCCAGCACCGTGCCAGACACATAGCAGGAACTTAATAAATGCTTGTTGCTGGATTGATTGAACAAAATCTGGGGTTGTCTGCCTTCACCATTGAAAACCCATGGTAGGATCACTTGGCACCACCCACACAGCAGATTGTCTGCTCTTCCCATTCAATTCAATCCAAACTCCTAAAGCATTTGCAGTCCCACCTTGTTTTCAATGCTTTGCTGAAACATGACTTGAAAATGTTTTTAAAGTTTCTGTTGTTATTCTATGGATCTGTCTTTTTCAATTCTCAGTAAGTATTGTAAAGTCCTCTGATGCCGCCACCCCATTGCCTACTGATGCCAGCCTAGAAGATTGGAGGAGAGCGGCTCCTGATGAAAGCTGCCAGGTCACCAGATATGGCCATTTTCTGGCATCTCTCACTATTGTAGGTAAGCACCTGGAGCCAGCTGGGACATCAAACCCCAGCAGCAGGCATTTATTTTCTGATCTCCTATCCCATTCTCAGTGTCATTCTAGGGGCTCATGGAGATACAGAAGTCCAAGGTGTGATTGCTGCCCTCAAAGAACCCAAAGTCTAGTTGGAAAGAGAAGATAAACCTATCTCTCCTCACATGATTTTTAAAAAATTTACTTTGAGCCTGGGTCTCCCTATCTCACCAAGGCTAGAAGAGTGGGGACCACTCATGAGTCCGATTCTGCTTCCCTCCACCACTCAACACACAAGTTTGACTTGCTCCATTTCTGACTTGGGAAAGTTTGTCCCTTCTTAGGTAGCCTAGCGGCCCCCCTGCTCCTGGGGCTCACCATATTGGTGCCAGATGTAATTTGGACACTAGATTGGCATTAGCCCTATTGAAGCTCAGATCTCGTGAGCTCAAGGGGATTCACCACCCTCAGTCTCCCAGGTAGCAGGTCCTTGGTGGACCACCATGCCAAGCCCCATTTCCTCTGTACTGAAGTGAGTTAAACAGACGTCTCTAAGTATTGGCTTTAGTTTTACAGTATTTCCAAGATGGCTAGCTAAAGGTAGCAACTCTTCAGACCATACAATACCAGGCCACTCACCTCAGGAAAATTGGCTTCTTTGGCTGCTTTCTACCTAACCCAATGCTCTCTCTTCTCTTCTGAATATTCCTGCTTCCCCCACCTCCCAAGGGGTCCTATATTAATCCCCAGTAGTATATATATTTCAGTCAGGCACTCTTGAAAAATCAAAAAGCCTCTAGACCACAAAGAAATGAATCTCCCATGCTGGCATTTCAGGCAGCTTGACAGGTGCCAGGAGATATATTAGGGGATGGGGGGCGGGGCATGTAGAGGCAGAGGAAGAAGCTTCCTGGCTACCCCTGGCATCCCTCATACCATACAGGTATCTTCATACTCCCTGGGTTGGCTCCAACCATAGGAGGACACTACCTACTGAACCCTGGGTGCTGACTTTCATCCAGATTGGGGGTGGGGTGGAGGGCCATATTAAAAGACAGGTTATTTAGTGTGGCTGCCCTAGGCTTGACTCTCAGCAGCTCCTGGCTGGCCACATGGGGCTCCCTGAAGCTGGTGGCGATGGGTCATGTTAGCTTTCTCTGACCCCCCTGCCCAGAAAGGCCTGACTGCTTTGCTTGCTAGTTTTCACAAGTTCACACTTTATGTAAGAAAGGAAATGAAAACAAGCTAGAAGGGAAGTCAGCAGCTCCACTGGGCTTCTCAGGAGACCGGGCTCCATGGAGACAGAGCCACTGGGCAGAATCCAGGACCTTTGATTGTGGTTTGTCGATTTCTTAGCAGTGGAGAGAATGAAGGCAGGAGAAGGCAGTCTTTGTTCATATGCTCTGCCCTTCTGATTCACTGGGTTCTGTTCTTCTCTCTTCTTTGGCGGGCGTGCTCGGGCTTGTTTTGTAAGAGGGAATCCTTGAAGTTAATATCATTCAGATGACAAATATTCAGAAGGCGGTGTCGCAGACAGAAGACTCCACAATCGACTTTGTCGTCACCTGCCAAGGGAAGTAAGTACAATATCGGAATGAGCCCCATCAGACCCCCAGGGCCGGGCAGGAGGCTGTTTGCAACATGCCCTCCACCCCCTAAACCAGAAGAGAATCGCCCAATTCACTGCAGACCCAGATAGAGCTGTCACGAGGACTTCTTTCACATAGGGCCAAAAGAGTTGAATGGGGTGGCAAGCCGGGGATGGCACAAAGCACTGTCCCGGACAACACCACCAACAGTTGTTGTGCCCTAGTTACAGCTCTGGAGAAAGCACAATGTTGGAATTTACAGAGTGTCCAGTGAGTTAGAGGATTGACGGGTTTGCTGACCTTGAAAAAGGCCCAATAAATGCAATGTTTGATTAAGTTACTAAAACTTTCAGAACGGTTCCAGCTTATTGACATAAACTGCCACGAGATGGGAAAGGTGTCAAAATGCCACTTTTCCAACGACCTCACACTCTGCTGGGGGTAACTGGAGGGGCTGGCAGGCCCCTGCATGGGCCCTGCATTAGGGGCAGGAGGTGCCACAATATAAGGTGCTAGGCCTAGAGCAAGGCCTTCAAATCTGACACTTCTAGCTGTGGACCCTGGGCAAATCACTTAACCCTGTTTGCCTCAGTTTCCACCACTGAAAATAGGGATAATATGAGCACCTACGTCCCAGGGTTGTTGTAAGGATCAAATAAGATGATATTTGTAAGAAATTATCTAAAAACAAAGCACTTAGCACAGTGCCCGGCAGTAGTAGGCACTTAATGAATGATTCCCTTTCCCCATGTGAGAACTTCATTATATTTTATGTATATTTTGTTTTTGCTTCTTTGCACACATATCACGTCCCCTTACCTCCGGCAGAATGTAAGCACCTTAAGGGCAAGCCTGGTGTCATTTTTGTCTCTGTATCACTACCTCCTCACACAGTGCCTGGCACACAGCAGGTGTTTAATACACACTTACTCAACTGAAGCCTTGTTGGAATGGGCTGAGAAAGAGAACTACGTTGCTTTCGGGGGCTAAGGAACCAGGGGCGAGGGTTAGGCAGCAGGAATGGTGCTTGTTAGATACTGGACTCCTCACCAGGGTCCAGTTCTGGGGCTTGGTGACCAGCCAAGAAAATCACGCTTGTCGTGGAGGTACGGCTTTGGATGCAGTTGAAGAATTGTCTAGGGGCAGCTGGGTGGTGCAGTGGATAGAGCACTGGCCCTGGAGTCAGAAGGGCCCGAGTTCAAATCCGGCCTCAGACACATAACACTCACTAGCTGTGTGACTCTGAGCAAGTCACTAAATCCCAATTGCCTCCCTGAAAGAAAAAAAAAAAAGAATTGTCTAGCAGGCAGCTGCTAGGAGGGGGTGCCTCAACCTTGCACGGTGACTTTGTAACCAAAGCTCTAGAGCTGCTCCCAGCCCTCAACTCCATCAGCAAGTCAGAGGACAGATGCCAGATGTGCCCCTCAGGGTTCTAGGGTTGACCCTGAGGGGCTGGGCTTGTCTTTCTAAAACTAAAGCTTATGAGTCCCCACCAGCATGCTTCCCTCCATGATCAGCAGTTGATATCAATTAGGGGCAGTTAAGTGGCTTGGTAGATAGAGCATCAAGAAGACCTGGGTTCAAATGTGGCCTCAGACATTTACTAGCTGTGGGACCCTGGGCAAGTCACTTAACCTTGTTTGCCTCAGTTTCCTCATCTTATAAAATGAGCTGGAGAAGGAAATGGCAAACTATTCTAGTGTCTTTGACAAGAAAATCCCAATTGGGGTCATGAAGAGTCAGACATAACTGAAATGACTGAACAGTAGCATTCAATAATTGAGCCTGATTTATTTAACTTTTAGAAAGGAGTATTTACCAAGGTGATGTAGTAAGAAAAAAAGTCTATGATACACCCCCCCCACCAAGTAAATCTAGTGTCCTAAGGAATGTGAGGTCAAGCCTAGGGAGTGAACAGGACAAGGAGCAATTCACAGCTTCTGGAAGCACGTTCTCCTGTGGGTGGTGTAGCTGGGCTCCTTGCAGAACCTTGACTCTGTCTTTCCTCTTCCTCCTCTGCCAGTATAGACACTGCCTCCCACAGCTGTCAGTACAGATGGAATGCCCAGGAAACAGCCAAGTCCTTTTCCTCTAAAGTTTCCTGGGTCCTTCTCTGGTCAAGAGGATAGAGGGAGGAACAGAGGCTGAGACCAAGATGCTCTCCTCACCCCCTACCCTCAACTCCCCAAGTGATTCCTTCTTAGGAGTGGCTCTTTCCTCTCTCCACCAGCTGCTTTTGAACCTCTTAGTTTCTGAACTGGTCTGCTATTTTATTTATTTATTTTGTCATTATTATTATTATTATTATTATTATTATTATTATTATTATTATTATTGTTGTTGTTGGTGAGGCAATTGGGGTTAAATGACTTTCCCGGAGTCACACAGCTAGTGAGTGTTAGGTGTCTGAGACTGGATTTGAACTCAGGTCCTCCTGACTCCAGGGTCGGTGCTCTATCCACTGCGCCACCTAGCTGCCCATGGTCTGCTATTTTATAGGAGACCTATATGACTAAACTCTGAAAGCATGGCCAGGCCCACGAGCCAGTCTGAACATACCTGCTGCATCGAGCTGAAATGCCCTTTGATTGATTAAGTGGTGTCTGGGCATTGGTCACACCTAGTTCTCCTTTTTATCTATTCATTTGAAATGTGTTCTCCCCTGGCCAAGGTGTGGGGATCCGGGCCTCGTACAGCTCTGACTATTACTCTCTCTACAATCTTGGAAAGGTGGTGAAGACAGTAGCTAACTTCTTCACATCCAGGGATTCTTTGTCCTTGTATACATTAAGAGAAGCTTGTTGGATAACTAAATGAAATTGAATGCTATTGCTGTCAGGACTACATCCTCCCTCCTGGAGGAAGGAGTGAATCCAGCATTCCCAGGGTTGGGTGAGACGATGTGTTAAGTTATCCCAAAGTGCTTTCTATGGATTCAGGAAGAGGAATGGATGCAAAGAAAGTGTCAGTTTCTCCCCTTTGCTCATTCACCCATTGAGCTTTAGAGATGCCCCATACTCTAATATCCAAATGTATGAACTCATCAATATAGGTAATCCCTACAGTAATGCAGCTCATAGCCCACGCAGGCCACCCACCAGTAACAAAATATTTCTCCCTTCCTCTCTCCCATCCTCCCCACCCCTCCTCTGTCTTTTGCCCACCAACCTTCTTGCCATTTTCAGCACTCCTACTGACGTCTGTACAGTTATTTCTGATCCTACATGCCTGTGGCCCCAGAACACAGTGTGTGACCCTGTGGAAGTCAATGACCAATGCTTGCTGACCATAAGGAGAGCCTTCAGTGAGGCCGGGATGTACTGTGTGAACCTTACTTTGGGTAATGAGGCCAGTCTGGCCCTTACAAGTACACTGGTCTCTATCAATGGAAAAGGTAAGTAGGAACTCTCAGACAGATGTTCACTGTTGGTTGTATCACAACAGTTGGGGTTGGGGGATCTGGACATGGGACTTTATCAGTGGGAGGAACTCCCCAAGTAGAAACTTTCTCTGCTGATGCAGATCAGTAATTCATCAGTCACTTAAAGTTGTCTGAGGGCACGGAGAGATTAAGTGACTTGCCCAGGGTCACACAGCTGAGAGGTAACAGAGAGAGGACTTGAACCATCCATTATACCATGCTCCCTCTAAACAATATGATACGTGTGGAGAGGTATCATAGAATGAAACTGTATGGGGAGAGTTTGGGGTGGAGGGAGAGTACTGCTGGGAAGTGAGAGTAATGTTTTTTTAAAGAGTGTCAGTGAAAGTTGTTTTTTTATAAAAGAAATGTACACCCACATTTCCTTGAGCTATTTGGAGCTTTGCTTTCAGAATTTAGTCAGCATCTCCCCCACAATTCCCTCTTCCCCTTCACAATGGAAGAGTTATTGAACGATCATTAGTAAGGATTCCTAACTTAGAATTAAAAGAAAATAACATGTCTATCTAGAACCCAGCTTAAAAGAGTGACCCCAGAAAATTGTGACTAGGGCCAAGTCGCCAGATGAAACTCCAGGTGGTGACCTTACACGAAGTACTAATAGGCTATCATTATACAGTTAAGCCTCTCCTTGAATGTAGCCACATTTCCAGAGGTAACTTGAAAGGTCTGGGTACTATAAATAATGACATTGGTTCATGTCTCTAAATAACCTAGGTAGCCTGGTGCCAGCATCAGGCTATATGCCCACTTAGAGGAGACAGCAGCATGATCAAAAATTCAGAGTGCAGAAGAGCACCTAAAAAAACCCAGTGGGCTCCTGGTTTCCTTCTTAACTTACCCATATGCCCTCTATTTCACTTTCCCATATTCTACCAAATAAAGAAACCAAACCCACAGTGCCAAACTCACTCGGCTACTCTTCAGGAACTCAGCAGGGAAAACCAAGCAGACAATTTTAAAACCAAATTATTGTATGCTCTTACTTTCCATATAAACATGAAATTCCAACAGAACAGACAAGGAGGGAGCTTTGATTGGGAACCGGATGTTTGTGTTAGGAGACTGTCCAGTTGGGCCCCTCTGTCATTCTTCTGCCATTGACTTTGCATTTTAGCTCATTTTATGGCAACATTCGACTTCATCGCCCCTTTTCAAAAAGCAGGTGCTGAACAGGGCAGTGGAGAGCAAAGGTGGCCTCCCTTAACGCTCATATGCTTTGCTCTGCTGCATCCTTTGAGCAAAGTTAGGTCACATCTATTCCCTTATGACTTCTGCTGATTCAAGGTTTCTCTCACTAATCAATATACATACATACATACATACATACATACATACATACATACATACATACATACATATGTGTGTGGGATATATGCTATATATGTATATGTAGTATATAATATATATGGTATATATATGTATATCAAAATATGCTTTTTTTATTAAAAAGGTGCAAGGCAAACTTAAAGCAAGGGAAAGAGCTACTTGAGCACTAACCATTATTTCACTGTTAGGAGACCTTGTGGTTGATACATTCCAGGAGAGATAAGAGTGGTCATTTCTAAAAGAAACTGGAGGAGAGAAAGGGTTGGGGCAGGATGATTATAAAGATGTGAATTCGTTTTCTTTCAACTATCTTTTATTAAATGCCTGCTGCATGCCAGGCACTTGGTTGGGTATGAAAGCACCAAAGACCAAAATGAGACTGTTCCCAGCCTCAAGGAGGTCTCCATCTCCCAAGCAATACAATACAAATGTAGATCATGAGAGCTATTTTGTGGAGAGAAGGGCCGCTAAGGACTCGTCTGTTCAATGCACATTTTCCTGTGCCGGGCTCTGTGCTGGATCCTTCCATGGAAGGGCTCATTCCAAAGTTCTTTCTTTTCATCCCAAGCTCCAGGGTCACCTGCCAGAGTCGGAGCAGGCATCCTGATCGCCATCAGTGCCTTGACTGTATTCACTGTTCTTTTAACCTTCTTTGTGTGCAAGTAAGTTTCTGCTTCCAACTCTTTGGGTATTTTCTGAGTCGTTGTTTGAACAAGTTGCTGGTTCTCTACAAATGGTGTCTCTCTTTCTGCCCGGATAGTAGAGCAGGGAGCTGGCTTCTGGGCTTCCTTTTTGTGTTGAACAAAGCATTTTCCCCCTGGTGCAGCGTTAGGAGCTCTGGCTCCCGAGTTAGAGGATCTGAGCTCAAAGCCTACTTCAGATATTGCCTGAGGAAGTCTTTCTCTCCCCTGGACCCCAGCTTCCTCCACTGTAAAATGAAGGTATTGGACTAAGAAGCCTCAGAGACCCTTCCAGCTATCAATCTATAATTCTCTCCCCCCTCCCCATTCTAATGAACTCTAATTGCTTAAACACTCCATTAATATTGCCGGGAGTTATAAAAAAAAAATCTCCAAACAAATCAGTGGTTCAGGTTTTTAATAACAACTCACTTTGTTTTTTGATCTGGACCTAAGATTTCATTTGTATACAGAAGTCCTGCAAAGTCCCTCCAACGATGCAAATCAGCCACTCCTGTGTAACTTAGAGTCTTAGAGAGTTGTCTGGGGGCAGAGAGGGAGTGAGTGGCTTATACAGAGTCACACAGCAGGTATGTCAGAGCAAATATTTGAATTCAAGGCCAGTTCTCTGGCCACTGTGCTCTACTTCCTTCTCTCAAAAACAAAACTTTGATTATTTCATGCTGAATGTCTTAAGAGGTTTTTACATTCATCTAAAGCCTTGCTAAGCTAGCACTTTTCTCACATGGGAGAGTGAAAGAGGAAAGCTCCCACTAAACAAGACGTTCTTTCTGCACCCTAGCAACTGGCTGGCCTTAGATCGAGGCTAAAGAGAATCGACTTTTTTTCCCCTTCTTTTGTTTATTTTTATTTAGTGCCTGTTGTATTTAATAAAAGAATGTAAGGGACTTTTTTTTAGAGAGCAACATTTCATCAGTGAAGGTCTTTTCTGAGTAACTTTTGCAAATGTTACTTGCAGGCGATACAAAGAATACAAGGCAATTGAAAGCTGCCCTGGGAAGGTGCTAAATAACAATGGACTAGATGTTTCTTTCCATAAGGAGAAGGCTATGTTCTTCCCAGCAAACAATGAGAAGGATCCGCTGCTGAAGAAAGAGCCTGGGATTGTTTAGCACTGCCAGCAAATCTGTGTCTTTATCGTGCACTCTGTACAGGAGTTTACATTGGAGCTGTCCTTGAGTGGATGACTGATAACTGTATAAGAAAAGGCATATTGTAAGTGGTATACACTTCTTGTAGGTATAATTTTTTTTATATAGGTTAAAAGATATTTTAGAGGATTGAAGAGGGGAATTATACTGCAGGCAGCCTTGGTCAGATTCTATAACTAATAAAGCCACTTGACAACTTTTTCTTTCCTTGTGATTTATGGTTCCCTAAGTGCTCCCAGTGTCCATCCTAGAGTAGACACCTCCCCAGAGAAGTCAGCCTTCCTAATTTGGGTCTTCCTTAACTTAACAGCAAGGTAATGTTTTAAGAAAAGAGACAGCACGAATGACAGCTGCCAAGTTCTCACGGTCTTCTATGTTAGAACACTGCCAAAGCAAAGCAAAGCCAAAAAATAAAAAGCCACGCAATAAATGCTGCTTCTAGGGGATTCTCTCAACACACAGGGCCCCTACCCTGTTGGGTTTTTTTAATTACATATTCAAACTCCTAGAAAAGGGACGAGTACTCATATATACTTGCGGAAAACCCTGAATAAATGAGGGTAGTGGTATTTCATGAGGCTGTAGCCAGGGAGGGAGGATGTTGCCTGGTCAGCCCGAAGTCAGAACACCTGAGGCCGAGAGGACTGAATAAACATCTTCATGCTGTTCTCTCTACCGCCTCCCGCTCTCCCAGACGATGGCTGTGAGTTTATCCCGGCTGCCTGCCTCTTTTTAGGCCAATGCCCACAGACCCTGTGCAGTGGGGAGCTCGCCTGTATCTAGAGAGCTGTGGATGACAGGCAAATGAAACAGTCAATGCCAACATTCCATGGCCGGTATCTTGGTGTCCTTGACTTCACAGGGGGAAAAATGTCTTGTTGCACTGCTTTGCTTTTGTTTACATCAAGAATAAATTTGCAAAGAGACAAATTAAGGCTTGATGGGAGGCAAAACATCCGAGTAATTAGCACTGTCCACAAACGGAATGATCTGCTTTAAGAAATTTTCAGTTCCTCTCACTGGACGCCTTCAGGCAGGGGCTAGATGACTGCTTGTGAGTTCTATGGGTGAGGGGATATTTGCTCAGGCAGAGCTGGCAGTCTCATGGCCTCTGGAGAGCCTTCTATCCCTTCAATGATCTGTGATTAGCATCCCTATCTTGCCCTTCTCTTCCCATGGTCTCCACTACCACCAAAAAAAGCTGCATGTGTTGTCAATTTCTTTCCACACTGGTGGCTTCCCTAGGCATTCATTTTAACTTAATTTCTCTTTTAAAGAAATGTTGGGTCAAGATGGCATACAGTGTGCTTTACCCACAGATGGCCATGGGCCCCTTGGGCATTAAGGAATATAGAAATTTGATTGGCCTCCCCTTTTTGAAGGAGAGACTGTGGCCCACAGATGCAGAATGAGGAATAGATGGTCAAACATGGTCAAAATGCTTTTGCCAAATTGTATTTCTTTGGCCTAAGAGGGTCCTATAGTGGTGTGAGGAACATGGAGGAAGGAGTTATTGAGAAGTAGCAGTGATGAAGAAAGAGAAAGAGGGAGAGAGAGAATCAGCAAAATAAACTCCTAAAAAAAACCCCTAATCATATGACTCAAACTAGGCTTAGGTAGTATAAACAAATTCTTTACTCTAAATTGGTTACCTGCTTTTTGTCTCCTTGGTGAGGGGATGAGCACAAACAGGAATTTGGTAAAATGGAAATTGTCTGTATCCTCTTGAAAAGAAAGGGTGGGTGCCAATGTTCTCGACAACTCAAGGATGCCGAGGCACAGCTGCTGAATCGTGCCGGTTCTCCAGTCGGGCAAAGCGTACCACACTAGGTTATCAGATGACACCAGGTTGAGGGTCCTTACTCACTGAAGACCTGGCCCAATCTGTGGTACTTTTTTTTTTTTAATGCTCTGGAAGAATGGCAGTTCAGCCTGCGTTGGGTAGATGGCACTGTCATCCCGTTCACTTCGACAGGCAATCTCTCAGCATGAATCCGCTTTCAGTTCAATGATTTATTCTGAAATCTTGCTTCCAAAGTACATTTGATTTATGGTGGCAGGGATGGATTATGACATTGGCAGGCCCTAAGCTATGTTGAGTACATGAAGCCCCATGCCATTTTAAGAAAACATTTATTTTCACAGGAAGGATATTGAAAATATCAACAGGAAAGCCTTATATTTGCAGATATACCCAGATGAAGTTGTAAAAATAGAATAATAATTTAACTAAAACACATGTCTTGCAATATGCCAGCTTGTGTTATGGAATAAACTTAAATTCATGTTATAGGGGCTATGATTTCCTGGTTGACTTTAGGGTGACAGGAACCCCTGAGCAGTAGGTTATACAGACCAGACTACTTGATGGGAGCCCTGCATCTGTTTTATATATTATATATAAATATATTTATTTTATTTTTAATTTACAGAATAAAACAAGCATTCCCATAATATAGTATAATTTTTAAAACGATTGCACATGAAATGGCAAATCTAATACAATCAACATGCTAATTTTTAACACTACAGATTGATGTGTGATTTTTTTTTCATAATTTTGAGAAAACAAAGGTATAGATGATCAGGGAGATAATTTATTTTCAGAAGTTATGAAAGAATAGTCAACCCCTAAGAGACTGATGGCAACCCCATGTACTCATAGAAATACTCATTTCATATCTCAATTATACTCTTAATCTTTTTCTCCCTCAGCTCTGACTACCCATCTGTTAATAATGACCAATTACTGCACAGTCAGAGCCACAGGTTTTTGTCATTTTAAGATGAAAATGTCAATAGAGACAACTCTCTCCTCACATCTCCTTTATCAATACATTTTAGGGAATCAGAAATGATGTAGTTTATTTTTCTTGTTATTATTAGCAGCCCCTAATATCGTGAAAACCACAGGTTAGTTGATTTATGTTGACTTTCCTACAAGAATGAAAAAAATAAATCAGAGTTCTGCATCGCAGGGGCTCCGTTTCCTTATCTGTAAGATTAAGAAAGGGTTGGACTCAGTAATCCCTGTGGCCCCTTCCAGCTTTAAAACTCCGTGTTTCTGGGAAATGATTCCCCATTCAATGAATTCAATTAGAAAGTGCTTGTTGCTAAGGCTTCTAAGCTCCTGCTCCTATTCCTCTGTATGGCCAGGGGGCACTGTGGTACAGCAGACGGTTGCTAAGTGCTCTGCATCTCTTAAGCTCTGGCAAAGTAATTGACACTGCAGATTTCCCAAGTGGTTTTACAGGATAAAGTTCAGTCACATTGCAGGTCTGCTAGCCCTTCACCTGTTACTGATATCAGACCTAACACCCATCTGCTGCCAGGATGGGACCCTGTGAAAATAGTACAAACGCACATGATAAAATACCACACTCAAGTACTCCCATGAGCAAGCAAATGCAGCCTCCACCCTGGAACATGAGCAGACCTGAACTGTAAATGGCAGGCTGTTCTGAAATCATTCTCAAGAGCCTGGGGTCGGCCCGGTTTCTGGGATTCTGGCGACATCAAGACACAGTACCTCTCTCTGGAAGCAAACACAAGCCTCCTGCCAGTCTGCAGGCTCCAAACATATGCCATGATAAAAATCCCTCCTTGCCCCTGCTATGCCTACAACCCAAAAAGTTGATAAACTTAGGGGGCTGTTGAAAGCACACTTCTCCCTAACACCACCAAGTCATCCTTACGAGGTTTACATTTCACAAACATAATCAAAATTCTAGGGAGGGCATGGCTACATATGCTGTGGAGCCATGCCATCTGCTCAATATTGCAGTTTGGGAGAGTTTTTTCATATGCCGGGTTGTAGAATCACCTTGTGTGGGGAGTTAATGAGGAATCCTTCCAATAGCACCTCTTGACTGGACCAAACTGAGTTTTCAAAATGTCCCATGACAAGGTCTGAGCCTATGAGATTGGGTCATTATGCACCTTAAAAATCGAAGGAGTAGCTTCCTGATGTCATTTTCAAATTTGGCCACTTTTGTTCTAAACCTTTGTCCTCATTGTTTTTATTCCCCTCCCAAAAAAACATTGGACTCTGTCCCTGGAGTCAGCCTGGGGTCTGATGGGTGACTTCTGCCTTACCTCACTGGGAATAAGGCTTCCCTCTCACTTCCTGACAAGTACATCCACACATGTTCCTGCCCCTCTTTCAGCTCCCCTTTATGTGTTATCTTGCCCCCCTTTGAATGTAAACTTCTTGAGGGCAGAGATTGTCTTGCTTTCTTGTATCTCCAGAGCTTAATACAGTATCTGGAGCAGAGCAAGCTCTTAATAATCACCATATCATTCATTTGTTCATAGTACCAGTGCTAAGTCTAAGTTGAAATCAAGTCAACATTTATTAAGTACCTACTTTGTGTCAGGCACCATGCTAAACACTGGTAATGACCAGAAAAAGGGCAAAAACAGTCCCTGCCCTCGAGGAGCTCACATTCTAATAGGGAAGAGAGATTTCCTATACATACTGCTTGCATAAAATCCCCAAACATTGTCAAGCTTCCTAAATGAACTATGTAATCACTCAACTATCCACACAGGGGAAAAGAGGTAAATGAATGCCTACTATGCAGAATGTAATAATATTCTGGATTCTATTCTTGGATAGACAAGCAGTAGGATAGATCCATTAATACTTATGTCTAGGGACAGATACTGCAAACAGATAGGAAAAGTTCAGAATGGAAGAAGAAGATATAAATAGGGAGATTGTCTTTCAGAAATTGCTGGATTCTTTTCATCATGTTAAACTTTTCCCAAGAATGAATGGCTCCACCAAAATTCTTCTGGTGATGTTTCATGGATGTAAGTCACAGAATCCTACATATTATTTCTCACAACTGCCTTTTGTGAACTCTACAATCCAGTCAAGGTGGTATCTTAGACCAAAATGGTCTTCACAGACAGTGTTCCATCTGTCATCTCCCTGCTTTTTCACTAGCTGTCATCACCCAGAAGGCACTCCTTCCTTGTCTCCATACCTTACAATGCCTTGTTTCTTTGAAGACTCAGTCGAAAATGTGGCATTATGCAAGCAAAGTAGCTAAAATGTTCATGCCCTTTGACCTAGAGATTCCATTACTGGGCTTTTATTCCAAGGAGGCCATTAGTAAGAAGAAAGTCCCCATCCATATATGCCAAAATATTCATAGGAGCACTTTTTGTGATAGTAAAGAACTGGAAATAAAGTA